ATCACGTTATCGGTAACGTGTGTATACTAAATCTGCCGACAGGCATGGCATTGTATCGATTAAGAATCCTATAAGTAACATCCCTGCCTATAGTGTCGATTAACTTAATTCCCGGGAGCAACTATACCGTCAGCCGTTTCATTCAACAAACAAAACTGTTAAAGTAATTAACTTGCAACTAAAATCGTACTTATTGAACTAGATAATTTTATCGTTCACTTTATCTTCACACCTAGATCTTTTTTATCGCCTACTATTATCATGTGGCACAAAAGCATGGTATTGTACAGCTAATGAATTCATTCAACTGAATGTATCAACCGTGAAAGGAGTTGTTTATAAACAAGAAAAGAAGAAAATTGCAAAAAAATATATTATTCGAATGGATTCGAATGTTTTCCGACGCGATATTGTTGTGTAGAAATCCATGTTATGCAATCGAACTTATCATTTTATTTTGTTTATCTTTTTTTTTTTTTTTTTTTTCACCACAAGACAAGTTTTTACACAATTTAACATATCTGTAATCTTATTATTCTTCTTTTATCCTTGGACCATCTCTAGGTTGAAAAATAAGTCAATACAACACGAAAGTCTCTCAATGTAAGGCTTTCAGTAAGCAAGTGAGTGTAGCACACGAACAGCTTATATAAATATTTGCTTAATAAACACAACACGGGCCGCCCATAGGCGTTATCGGCGCTCGTTATGCATCCTAGCAAACACTTAACAAACAAGCATGGAGAATTTTCTCCTCCCATCGCTCTTGTAGCACACTCCCCTCTTTATATAAGTGTTTTACAGTCGCAAAGTAGCTCATTTTTTTTTTTTTTTTTTTTTTTTTTTTTTTTTTTTTTTTTTTTTTCTCTCTTTGGATTTCTAAAATTAGACCAAGAATTATCAAGAAAACTGTACAACAGTAAAAATGATACGTTGCAGCAGTGAAGATTAATGAACAAGCGGGGAGTAAAAAAGATTCGCAAGGCACAATTCATGGCAAAGTGTAGCCGCACAAGTTAAACATTGAACAGTTAAAAGTTGAAAAATTATTTTCGAAAAATGCCAGTTGAAATGGTTTTTACGTAAATCGGACGAGCTATATTGCTTGGCCAGCACTTGGTAAGAAAACTCTGCCATGTGCTCATTACATTGGAGAAGAGATTGGAAAAGGGAGCCACGTGTTTTAAAATCACGATAGAAAGCTTCTTGCTTCAACACAAGCTCTCACTTCTCGGTAAAAATTTTTTAGAATAGGTAATTTTTGAATAGCAAGTAATATTTGTTTGATTACATTGGAATCGTGTCATCACAGTTATGTGCTGCTATACATACAATTGGGAGATTTGTCGCGGTAACTATTATCTTGAATGTAAAAGCTGTATCATCGACCTTGAAAACACGCGTAGAATACCAATTGTTTAAACTCATACATTTTATCTATGAAAGATATCTTCGTGGGATCTGATATGGCAATAAGCTAATATGTTGATAGTGCGAGATTGGATTACTTCGTCGTAACTGTGATTGAATAGTACTTTGGGTAACGAGTGCGTAAACGGAGTCATACTTGATATAATATACTGTATATAATGTCAATATTTTGCCTCGAGCGAAACGAGGGGGACGTTAAACGAGAGTCAAGTATTAAGGACCACCTATACGCACGTGTGTAAATGCTTTTTTTTATTTGAATATCCAAAAAGTTCACTGTACCACGTGTGGACACATAAATTAATCATACAATGATTCAATACAGGTACTACCGATTATATTTCGTCTGGAAAATTTTCACTTGAATTAAAGAGAGTCTAAACTATGAAAGCAAAAAGGGACGTCAGCTATAAAAACATGGTAGGCTAAATTTTTAATAGAATAGGAATTAAAAATTGAAAAAAAATTTTCACCAGAAAAACATACACTTGTGTATGTTTTATTATGTATCGTAAAACAAGCGTCTCAGTGTAAAAAACGATTTTAACATTTAATTTTACGTGTTGCATGCGTACAAAGACAACTATTTTTGATTTATTTAAATCGACTGAATGAAAAAAAATTATGTAAGAAAGCTACTGCCCCATATAGATAAGGCATTGATAAACAAACGAGAACGAATCCCAAAGGACTGAGAATCTACTTTATAAATATCACAATAATATGATTACATTGTAAGCACGATAATAACATGACAATAACATGACATCTAACGAGTGTACGTATATATATTTTTTTGATAATTCTAAAACCTTGGAATTTTATCACGGTTAAAAATAATTTCTGCCTAATTTATTGATTTTACAACCTTTGAGTAGGTACTTTTAGTACATAAAAAATTGATGATAAACGACGAAAGTACAAATATTGGTGATGAAATTTTCTACTGTCTTAATAAAAGCTCTATGAATCCTCGCAAAATGAAGAAAACGTGTGTGTATGACTGAAGTAGCAATTGAACACTCGAACGACAATAATTGTAAGCAATGAAGGAAGTCGCATGAAATTTCCGAATGCCGGGAAAAATAAATTGTTCGCGGAGGAAATGAAACGTTTGTGCTGTCCTATGAAGTCATACTTACACTTCCTACTTAGATAAAGTAGAGAAAAGTCTCTCCCGTATACGTAGACTCGTTTGGAGAAGAGGATCGGCATTGACTGTCACTTAAATACGTACCTAATCTTATGGGAATTCCCGACTGTAACGGCGACGGTGGCAACTTCATCTAGTTTTACTTGGTACGATTTAACATGGAGTTTTCAATTAAACGAGGACAGCACCGAACTTGTGCTTGGAGAGCGAGTACAAGCAGCAACAGCAGCAGCATAAAGCGCCGTATATACAAGAGAGATAATTCAGAGAGACAGGGTCGGCGCATCGAACCGTGGGATAAGCGCCTGGAGCCGGTGCTTTTATGTATAGGTATACTTTATGACTTGGTTATGGACAAAGTCTGAGACAAATGAGTCGGCGACCGCGCACATGAACGTAAACACGATATATATGATATAAATGTACAAAGTGTATAAATATATGCACAGGTACTACGCAATTTTTACTGTGGAAACAACAGTGGTGCGTGATTTTCACTTGTTTGTGAGTTGTTTTAACGATACCAAGGTTTTTTGCCACATTTTTGTGTCGCACATCAAGAAATTTGTACCGCCAAAAGTAATGACTTACCTATGAATTTATTTCAAACGAAAAATATTGAGCTTTCAAAGCTAAACGAAAGATGATTTGTGACCGCTAACACCTGTTTCAAAATTTAATTCGTATACATCGATATGTAGCAGTGTTGGATAGTACTCTACATACGTTTTCGAAAATGTACCCATTAATTGGCTTTGGATGCATACGTGCAAAATTAAATTAAAATTAGAAGATTATAAAAATTATACGTATATGAAATTAGATGATTATAAAATATTGCTCTCGATGCCAAATATCAATTTATTTATGTTTGTTAGTATTTAGTAGTATTTAAAAGAGAAAGTAATTTATGCTGCGAGAAAAAAATTCTTACATGATTTAGAGTAAATTACTTAATAATTGAAGTTTAATCGACTTACTTTTTTAAAACTTGTTATGTTTTTTTTTATTATTAATGACAGGAAGTAAATATTTTGTACCTAATTTTTATTTACTTATTTAATTTTTTTTTTTGTCATAGTGTAGAGAAAAAAGATTCTATAAAAATGTATTAATCTAGCGACTGTTCGAAAGGCTGTAGTAAAAATTGAGGTAAAAACTAAAACAACGATTTGCATCTAGTACAGCGGTACTTTTTCTTACTGTTTTTAGTTTGAGAAATTAAATTTTCCGCATAGTATACGGCAAAACATCCACTCCGCAGATTCCAATACTCGTATGATAAACGTTACACTTGTGGCTGATGCCGGTAGCTCGTGTCATATATATATTATCATATTCGTGTGACCATAACTGGCCCTTGTTCCCGACAACTCCAGCCACTCGTGTGACTGACTCGTATACTCGTATAGCCGATGTCGGCGGTAGCTGGTGCCACACTATCACACTCGTTCAATCAACTGCAATAAAAAAAATTAAAAAAATTTTATTGTAGCATATGCTCTAAAGGATGTGGTAAGAACTACTAATATAATATTTCTGGTCGTTTCAACCGGAAAATCAAAGGAATACTGAAGCTTTTTTTACCTATATAATTTTTTCGCCCATACCAATAACATATGCTTTCACCTATTTATCTTGAAACTTGCTTTCAAGCAGCTTTAAACGTTTCAAGCACTGAAGCTATTCATTTAAAAATACAGATTTTCAAATCAATGCACTTTAATGTCAAAAACCCAAAGTTATCTATTAGGTGTGTCTACTAGATTTAATAACTTAATTTAATGTATAATATAATTATATTACTCACAACGTATTTCAGACTAATTTTTTGTGTTTCATTAACCGCATAAAATTTTAATCAGAGTAACACTGAACACATTGTGGTATAAACAAAAATTTCAATTTCCTAGATATATCTGGGTTACCTTTATTTGTGTAGGCCTCGAAAAAATCTTTGCTATCGAAGTATCGATGAACAATAAATTTTTAAGTACGTAAAGTAAATGAATTTCAAACGAAATGGTATCGTCTCTGTTAAATCACTACATAACACGTTTAATTATTTGTACATTTAAATTGTGCGCTCACACGTGCACACTAATTTTGTTACCATAGTAATTCATTAGATACTATTGTAATGTATACTGAAAATGAGTTTAAAAAATATCACATATTATTATTCTAAGGTTTCCGGAAAAGTCTAAAAATACAAGCATATAAAACGTAATGTTGATCATCGCGAACCTGCTCTACTCTGTATTTTTGCACCCTCGTAAGCTTTGTCTTCCCCTCGAGTGGGCACACAACAATAACAACAACGGGCAGACAAATCTTGCATATAATTGCGCACGAATCGATCAACAACCACAAGGGTATATATAAGGAAGCTGGGAAAAGATTTTTACTTGAAAAGATGCAGAGCTTTGGTAGCTGGCAGTTCAATTTTGGCAGCGCCAGGGACTCCAACCCTCGCACTCGACCGATTCGCGTGTTGCTCTTGGGCCACCCCGGAGTCGGCAAAACTGGTGAGAGATTTTTCATTGTGATTTCATGACGATCCGCACGTGTTGCAAATCCATGCAATGTTTGTGTTGACTAGTGGACTTACAAACTCCTGACTACGCGAGATTTGAAGTACTGTAAATAATGATAGCGTGTAATTGTATTGTCAGCATCCCGAAAAAAAAACAAAAAAAAGAAAAAAAAACAAGTGTGTCGCGTTCGTTGTTGTCACGAGTATAAATACAAGTGTTGATTGGATTCCAGTCGCTCTTGTTGTTGTTGTGCGACAATTGCGTTCTTCTTCGAGAAATGTTTCTTTTCATTAATTGATTATAACCGCTGAAACAAATAATCTTACAGCACGCGAGAGATAAATTAATTTGCTCTTTGAATAATATGTGTACTTGAAAACTGATTTCTCTCGAGTTTTGTGTTTTCTTTTTTCTTTCTTTCTTTTCTTTTTTTTTTTTTTTTTTTTTTTCTTTGACATAAGTAGTTCGTAGATAAAAGTTTTCATTTTATTTTTAATAATAGAAGCAAAGGGGAAGGAATTAAAGCTGTGTGAATTATGATATTGAAAGTTGGTGAGGAGCAATAATAATATTTACAATTATAAGTGACAGTCGGAAATGCTTGATCGAGGAAACGTGTTTGCTCGCGATTACGCATAGTATTATGCGAATCAATGTCGATTTATTTCTAAATTAATGAATCACTGGGCTCTTGGATCGGAGTACAATGAGCATCGGACAAATGGCGCAAATAAACTGTTGATGTTGAAATGCAGTTGTACAATGTTTTTATTAGCTGTGGATTGCACAATAGGTATCAACAGCACATATTTTTGAGGCTCAGAGATACTTGATCCGAGGAGTCTAATATTAATACTTCGATTGTCGTTCAAGCGCACGAGTGATTCAATTTTACGAAATGGCATATGTTTTCATTTCCGTACAAGACAATGGGGAGAAGTGCTAATAATATTCATTTCCAAGTATTGGCTTACTTAGCATTGATTTTGCCTGTATCATGAAAACTAGAGTACCAGGAGAAGTTATGATGCTTCTGCATGATTGTGATCGATAATTTTTAGTATTTCTCATTGGACATACACCACATTATACTCGTGGCACCCGTTTATCCATTGTTTAGATATAGGCATAATTGTTACATAGACTTTTCAATACTTTGAAGTACCGTTTTTTTTTTTTTTTTTTTTTTAATTTTAATACTAGAAAAAAAGTTGTTTTTTTTCATCACTACTTAATCAAAATTTGTCTAGGAAAAGGTTGTGTGATGGATCTAGATAAATAAAAACTTATTATAAAACACTTGAACAAATACTTACATACTTTTTATTTTATAAATTTCGTACTCTTAAAAAATATAATTTCTTATTCTGGCTAAGAAAAATTTAGTTCAGCAAATCGTGTTAAAAGTGGTAAAACAAGAAAAAAAAAAAAAAAAATATTCAGCAAACATTAAAGCATTACATACTAAAAAAAGAGTAATGCAAAGTATTTGAACAAGTACCTATGCTTAAGTCTGACAATATTGTTTTATTATTAGTTTTGTATACGGCAGCAATCTGAATCAGAGTTTAAAAATGTTGATAATAATAGAAATTAAGCGGCTAAATTTTTTCATCTAAAGCGTGGCTGCTAAATTTTTTACCATAGCAAAAAGTACAACCACACGTTTTTTATAAATCTATAAAATTCAATTAACTGATATTAGCACCATTATATCAGTTTTCTAGCTATTCTTACAGATAATCGTTATTAAGACCATAATAATCACATTTTAAATATAAATGGGCACGATTAAACCGTAGAGCATTTGCAAATGTGGAAAAAATGTTTTTTTTTTTTTTTTTGAGATTTATAACTTTATTTCGTGACACCGTCTTTCACTTCTTAAGATACACCCAAAAAATTGATTTTCAGTCAGAAGTTTGATTATTTCGAGTCCCACATCTTTATTGACCGCGTATGGATGTAAAATAAAATAACCGCTCGAAAAGTCAAACAACTGATTATAGCTTTTTCTGACTTGTGCAGTCTTGGGAGCGATAAAATTTTCTAGATGAATATCTGTCAAGTCGTATGGCATTGAAAATGAAGCTACAAATAAAATTTTTAGCCCAATCGGATGTAAAGTTTCGAAGATACCCCATTTGCCCTGGTAAAAACCCAAGGGTCATCGTAATCGCGAAAAACCAAAAAAATACCTACGCAAAAGTAGTGATCGTTTGAACCATACACGCAACGACAGCCATAGCGGTGCGCTTCGCCAGCCGGCGCTTCATCGGCGAATACGAGCGTGGCGCGGAGCGGATGTACCGGGTGGAGGATCACCTGGCCAGCTGGGAGATAGTCGACCCACCGGGCGAGCTGACGCGGGCACCCACCGAGTCACGGCTACGCTGGGCGGACGCTGTCGTACTCGTCTACTCGGTGACCGATCGCGTCAGCTTCGACGAAACCTGGCGACTGCGCTTTCTTCTCAATCAGGCCCGCAAGTCCAGCAGAAAAGTACCACCACCCGTTGTCGTGCTTTTGGGGAACAAGACCGATCTCGGGTCTCCACCTGGTGGGGACAGGATGGTCACGACGGCCGAGGGCAGGAAGCGAGCCGAGGACATCGAGGCTCAGGACTTTCACGAAGTTTCCGCCCGGGAGTCCTTGGACCAGGTGAGAAAGACTTTAGGGGGGGGGGGGGGTATTTTAGTTAGGGATTCACTTTGCCAAATATTTACGTTGCCAGTCGATCGGTGTGTTTTTTCGTTCACTCGTTGCACTCGATTGCACTCGGGCATGGTGTTTACTCGTGTGAGCGCCGAGTCCGTCAAGAAAACTGATATCACTCGTACGCGGTTTATTGAAAGAAGACGCCAAGACCTCTGTTGTTTAAATATTATGCAAAAGTCATTTTGACAACTCGCTTAGAGACCTTGACTGTGTGTATCAAGAATATAGTGTTTTGGACAACAAAAAATCGTCTGGCGTGGAATCCAATCTCCTGTGATTCTTCACACCTTATATAGTGTCTATGGATGATGAAAATTTGTTTTTTTAACTGGGCTAGCTTACGAAGATGCTACGTTCTTCACGTGATGCTTCGTGATCACGAAGAGCGTACTGAACCCGTGATACTTATAGGTATCTTTTAATAGTTCATTTTTGATTTGAGCTTTTTTTGCAGATCGTTATACCTTTATTTTATTGCGAAATGTAAATTGAAAAACCGACATTTACATTTTTTTTTTTTTTTTTTTTTTTTTCTCCAAAACACTTCTTTTACTAGTCTACTTCCTCTCTTTCGCTTGCTTTGTGGTCAACTTCGAGTTCGTTATCTGCTCTTGCTCGTTCTCGTTGATTCCGTTCCATCAAAATTTTTTTTATTTCTGTTGAATTGTTTATTTTTTTCTATGTATACTCCATCCAATATCTTACTGTACTTACCAAATTGATGCCGCATCCCTTATGAAGTTCAAAGTATGTACACGTATAGTGGAACGTTTTTAAAAATCTTGAGCTTTAGTCTTGAGCTCGTCTATTTTTAGTCAAACAATGAGATTCCCGTGGGATCTGTTGTAAAATTGAGGGTCTTGGCTAACGTTTTTCATCATGTTTTATGCCCGTATGTTTATTGTGTATTTTAATCAAACGTTTTGACGAAAAAACACATGACCTTAGAATTGAGTTTTTACTCTGGATGCGTGTGATGTAGGGTTTAAAATTTGTACGCCCCACATACTTGCGTACTCCTCAATCGTCTATTTCATGTGAGTTATCGTCATAATTTACACGCAGATTAAATAATTTTGACAATTTTTATTGAAATTATTTCCATCGAAATAATTTTTTTGGAACAACTAAAACTTTCCACACGAGTCGTCGATATTAAACTATGCAAAAACTGGTAAATAAAGGACATAACGTGACTTAATTCTCTTAACATCGACCACTTGAAGAATAATAATGTAAAGTAATAGGCATTGAATTTTAGAATTTCGATTCCAATAATGTCGTGAAGTATTTAATTATTAAAAGCAGTTACATAGTTATACACACGTAAATTGATAAAGTACCTTACTAGTAATGCATTATTAATCATTCGAACATATTTTATTTACCCATGAATATCATCTAATACAGTTGTATACTAGTAATGCAAGTATATTTTTTAACAAAATTATCACACCATCATATTTTACAAACTATAAATTGAGAAACGACGCAAAAAGTTCTACGGATGTAATTATCTCATCTTAATGATCTACCGAGTACTGTCCATGGTTATTATTTTCAGTAGATAGCAAAACAAGATTCACATGCGGCTCTTCGTCGTTGTCAATGGCAATGGGCGCCGCCTTTAGCTTGACAAACTTTTCGTGTGCCAGTATGTTAAACCTAAGCTCGAATAATAAGCTCTTCAATTCCTGGTCGATCTTGTCAGCGCCAGGCTCTACCACCTGTAAAATATTCATCAAGCTTTCGTATGACTTGTTAAACTCCACGTAAGAATTTTTCCCATTAACGACGATGTCCTTGTAGGTCCTCTTGGCTTTGAGCATGATCTCGTCTGCCTCTATCTTCACGTCCCTCATACTTTTGCGGACACCGTTGACAACCACGTGATAATCTGTCTTTGTTTTATCGTGCATTTCTAATGCTTTCTCGTACATACTGTCGAACTTCGTTTTGACCAGTCCCCATTTTTTTTTCATATTGTGCCAACTGTTGTGCAATTTTTCCAGTTCGCCGCTCACAATTGCATCCTGTGAACGTGACCAAACGTCACAAAGTCATTTCACAAAAAAAAAAAACAACGTACCATTTAAATGTAGACGATTTGAAAGAAAAAATAAAAACAAAAACAAAATTAGCAACCTTAGCTTCAATGATTTCCAGTTTGAGGTCATCGAGCAGCTTTTTGATCTCGTGATAAAACTCTTCACCATCGGTCTTCAAAGTTTCAATCGACAATTTCAAATCTTTGTAGATCCTGTCGAATTCGTGAAAAGCGTACTCCCCGTCGACGATTATTCTCTTGTAGACTGCCTCGACATCGTTCACCAGTTTCAATGTTTCGTCTTTGGCCTTCGAGAGGTTCTCCTTGATTATATGAGTGCCCTCCTTGATATCATGCAACTCGTTGATCACCTTCTCGTAGAAGTTGTGGCAGTGCTGCTTCAGCGATAAAAACTTTTCCTTGGCTCTCTGCCAGCGCGAGTGTTTTTCCGGGAGTGCAGTATCGTCTTTCTTGGGCTTGACTGGACACTTTTTTTTTTGCACGTTTGATTTGTTATCTATGTTTATGACTGGAGGGTTCCCATCTGGATGAAGGATCTTGAACAAATTATTATTATTTTTTTAGACTTTGAATTTTTACGATTAATGTTACACGCGTGGAAATGGTTTTCGTGTGGTTTATTTACCTCATTGGAAATTTCATTGGTCTCCGGGGCAGGAAAAGACAAGACCAAGCTGACGCCAAGAATCGCGAAAAGTAATGCCTTAAGGAACATGTTGACGATACTCAATGTTCGATTCTCACTTAGGCAGCTGTATTTATATCCCCGATTTGCCAGTATTATTAATTTTTTATTTTTGAAATTGATAATTACTCGTCAAACAATATTCTGGAAGATTTATTAAGATAAAAATTCATAACGGGACGCACAAGCCACTTGTTAATAATTAGGAGCCATGAGTACAGTTTGTTTATCGTTTAATCAAGTGTTTAATTACTATCGAGTTCTTTTACTTTGGATGTAAAAAACTTTTTACACATGAACATTAAAAAAAAATTTCAGCTTGGCCAAAACACTTTAGTTCAACAGTTCTCTTTAGTTTGGTTTCTCAAGCCAATCCTAAAAAAAAAAAAAAAAAAAAAACAATGTCTTACAAAAGTAGCTTTTTTTAAACAAAGTCGATCGTTCGCAGAAACAAAAATCGATGAAACTTTTCTGGAACTTTTACCTGCACATGTCAAGGGCCATAAAAGCTACGACATGTCCAAGGTAGACCTTTTAAATTTATCTGAAGGAGAGGTCGTAGGGTTGCTACTACCAGTACAGTAAACCGAAGTTATCTGAGTTTGGATAAAAATATCATCTTTTTTTTCGACACCTTATCCACATGGCCTTCTTTCCAAAAAAAAATTTCAATTTTTTTTTATTCTTTCAAGAAATAAATTTCATGGGATACACCTCTAAATGTCGGTTTTATAAATGGCTTCATTCAGTGAATTACTTGGGGTAAAGATGAAATTGTGATATCGGTAAAGAGCTGCGAATTCACTATTGGGTCATTAAATTTGTTTCATTTGAAGTAACCAGGTGCCACAGACTTAGCAGTGGAACATATTCATACTTTTTCTTATGTTCTATACGTAATTTGCTTCCGATCAATATTTATTTTTCAAGCTAAAGTTCAACACTTGTAAAATTACAATAATAAGAATTTTTTATGATTAGTTCATCGCTATGTGGACCCTCATCTCATTATATCTCAAAATAATTTTAGCATATATTATTATTTTGTATTCAAGTTTTAAAAGATCTTTCGAAAAAATAGTTAATATGCGCATGAATTTTGACGCGCTCTTAAAATCAAACTCCAAAAGTTTCGTTGATTATAAATTTATGAGATATTAAACAAGTGAGAAATAGAAAAATCCAAATATTACAACTGTGAAGTTAAAAAGAAAATGTTAATAAATATTGATAAACAAATGTTACGACAATTTTTTTCCGTAAATGTAAAACTCTGTCTTCGTGAAATTAAAATTTATAAAAAATTCGGAAAATTGACGAAAAATATTTCATAAATGAGACATTTCGTTACATTACTTGTACCCTTTCATAAAATATGAGTCGATACATACTCACTTGTTTACCATCTCTTCAACAAATTTCAGAAGCAAACAAGCGTACACGAAAATTCTATCAAATAGGTCAGACAAATATGCCTATAAATTCTCGTTGATTCCGTTCCATCAAAATTTTTTTTATTTCTGTTGAATTGTTTATTTTTTTCTATGTATACTCCATCCAATATCTTACTGTACTTACCNTAATCATAAGTTTTATCAACTCCTTTGTGAGTCACGTATTCTGCTGTTGTGAACTAATTTTCAGCCTGCATTGATAAATACACGAGTAATGTCGTTATTTTGTCTACTCAATCTGTTAGTGGGGGGTTGGCTCGCGGGGCGCACAGGGGGGCGTTAGAATAAACAGCATTTGAAATAGTTGATATCGCCTACTGGAAGTAACCACTCGTGTGATCAGAGATTAAAAGAGTAAGGTCGTAATCGTAATTTGTACATCACTATTTTTTTTGTAAGAATGACGCTTAGTGGAATTCAAGTAAATAATCACAAGAAGCCCGGACCACTACAGTGAAACTCAAAGGCATATTTCATTCCAACTTATTTATGATATGCTTATCCAGTTATGTAACACGATGACGTACCTACAACTCAAAAAGAAATTATAGAATTTTAACGAAATGCTACAGTAACGGGTTTGACGAACCTTGGCATATTGTTCAAACGTATTGATATTTGAGAGGATTTTGTAAGATATACTTCGATCTTTCCAGGGAAAGAAGCAGCTGAAATTTTTCAGGCCTTCATCGTTTAGAAAAATTTGCCCGTACGTGAGCTTGAAATTCAAATTTTTTTTTTTTTGTTGAAAAAATTGTAAATTCATGTAAATTATGTAATACAGTTCATAATTTTTATGTAGTTTTAATAGATTCAAATTTATTTATAATTATGATAAAAAATAGAAAAAAAAGAGAGAGAATCCAAACATGAGAAAATAAAATGTCCATTTGATGAAAATCAGTTTTTTCCTAATAATCTCAATTTAAACTTTGTTCACGTTGGCGTAGATAAAGCAATAGCTCACCACCAAGTATTTGCACACGGCTGTGAAAAATCACGTGTCTTGGTTACCGCGCGTGTCAGCACTTTTTTTTTTTTTTTTTTTTTTTTTTTAGACGTAGCGCGTTCTTGTAATTAATTGACTTTATCATTATACAAATAATGGCAATTATCGTATGATGTTTTATCTTTATGTCATGTTGACAGACTCAGAGGAGCAGAAACTTATATTTTTTACTCTCACGTTTTCGCAAGTGTGTATTCTTTATCTCATAGAAATTCATAATAGAATTGATTATTACACTTTATAAAATTAGTTGAATTTCTTTTTACAATTTTTCATTGGCTCAACATTAAAATCTTACCATAAAGGCTCACTTCTAAAGGCTTATAAGTGAGAGATGAATCGATCGCCTGCCCCTGAGATCCGCAGTATTTTTCTCGCATAGTTGTCAACTGTTTCTCAACAATTTGCGTATGGATGTCATACCCAAGAAAAATAACAAAGAGCACGTTATATAGAGTAGCGTATGGTTGCCTGCGTAATTTTATTTTTGTGTGGTATACTGATGCGAAAAAAAAAAAAAAAAAAATATCCATACGAACAGGTAAAAGACCCGAGCCAACGCGTTGAACAAACGCGCCTCTGAAAAAACCAAGCAAAACCAATAAAAGTGATCGTAAGAATGTCTGTGATCGCAGGTCATGGCCGTTTTCGCGAGCACGGCAAGACTCGTGCAGCTCATGCTACCTAGAGCATCACCAGCTACGCCAACGTCTTCGGCCGAGGACCCTTCATCGTCAGCATTTCGACTGCGAGCTTCGACCGACGGCAGTATCGACGCCAGGAGGCGACCCCAGCACTCCCTGTTCAAGCGCCGTTCGAGCATATCGGCCAAAGGCGTGCTGCACTAGACGATCGGTGTGTATGGGTATATAATACATAATACATGCTCCTTATCCACCACACCAGACTCCTACGGTGGTATTAAAAACTCGGTATAAATAAAATATTTTATTGACCAACCCCGCAGAGTCCCTATACGACACGTACCGAGAATCGTTGAAACTCCCCAGAAGGGGATGACAATCGACTTTTACCCGGGATTTTCCACTGCGTTAATACCGTCCCTGAACGCGTTGGTACCATTACCCGTGTACGATTACCCGAAAAGCTCAATTGTACGTGTATATATATATATATTTCCCTATATTATATAGTTGTATTGACGAAAGTGAGTCTCAGACCCCCCCGCTGCCCCTCAGCTCCCACTCGATTTACGTAGTTATTTGCTTGTTTTAACGTCATTTTTAATCAAATTATATTTGAGTGAGCTCCCCCCCGCTCCCCCCAATAAAATACTTATTTATTTAATGTTTTACCATCATAAATTTTAAAAAATATACGCATTTTAGTACCTGAGTCATACCTCGTTTTTAGGGTTTTTTTAAGTCACTGATCATAGGTCTCCCTCTGTCCATTCGCTTCCCGTTACTCACTATGTGTCTCTGAAGTACCATTATTTGTTTAACTTGATTGAACTTTTACATTTCAAATCTCTTTCTGGTCCATGTCTACTTTACCCAAACATAAAATTCTTGATTACTTGAGGACTTTATTAAGTAAAAGAAAGAATTCAGGATGAGGTATAATTAAATAGACAAACACAATTAAGCTTTTAAAACAATAATTCATTCTTTTAGCTTAATGTTGTGACATTTTATGTGTCATTTTAACCCATCTGTTCTTTTAAAACCCTTTCGACATTTTTCACATATTTGTTTTTCATGGTTTTTATGAATTAACATACGTCTGTTTTAATGTGATGATCTTCAAAGTTACATATTTTTGAATTACTGAAAAATTTCTAGCTGAACAATATTTTTAATTTCTGATTTATTCTCGGATGCAATTTGAATAAACATTCTTTTTGGATTCTTACATCTTAATAAAGCAACGTATAATTGTCCATAAGAGAATAAAGGTTTTTTAATATACAATCCTAAAGAATCAAAAGTCTGTTTTTCTGATTTTTTAATAAATATAGAACATGCTAATACAAAGGGAAACTGTTTTCTATAGCAGACAAAAGGTAATGATAATAAGGTGCCAGTGTTCAATGTTATTCCAGGAATATAAAATTTGCTTTTTTTATCCCATGATTATTTCTGCTTCTATATTATACTTAAATAATTTTGTTATTTTCAATCTTGTGCCTCTACATAGACCGTCTGATATACTTAAAGTTCTTATTAACACTACTATAGCATTTATTTTTAATTTTAATTCGTGTAATGGAAGACCCTCTCTAATATTATTTCAAAATACTATTGGAAAATTAATATTTATGTTAAGTTAATTATGTTAAAATAATCATAAGTTTTATCAACTCCTTTGTGAGTCACGTATTCTGCTGTTGTGAACTAATTTTCAGCCTGCATTGATAAATACACGAGTAATGTCGTTATTTTGTCTACTCAATCTGTTAGTGGGGGGTTGGCTCGCGGGGCGCACAGGGGGGCGTTAGACCCACTAGTATATATATATATCTTGTTTTAGTTTTCTCTACTCTTTTGACAACAAGAAAAACAACTTTCACTGTTCGGACATAATATATACATTCTTGCCCCCCTCTAACTAGGGAAATTCCACGCCGGTTGATTACCAAAGGTACACTGTGTATTGTATAATGTTCATTTTATTCATTCGTTTATGACCATTATTTGTTATTTTCTATACATAAATTGATCCCAAAACATCGTTAACACATCACAAAGATAATACAAGCTAGTCCGTATCTCCGTCGCGAGGGCGATTAAAAACAAACAAACAAACAAACAAACGATTAGTGTTCAAAAAAACACTTATCAGCTCGTATATTTATATGTATAACATAAGTTGTAGAAAAAGGCTTTGCCAGTCACTCGAAAGCGGGCATCATCAGCCGTGCCTGAGTGCCGCGACGAGGGCTCTCCCGTCTCCTTCCTTGATGGCCGCTCTGCAGCGCTGAACGGCGTTGGTCGCTGCTTTTCCCACTGAAACCAACAATCCCACAAGTCCCGCAAACTCTCCTCGGTAAGTAGGAAACAGGCAAAAAAAAAAAAAAAAAACAAAACAAAAAACAAAGGGCAAACCTCGTAGCCGCGAGGCGCTCTGCACGCCAACGTTGAGCTCCCTAAGCGCCGCGACGAGATCGGCAAAGCTCCCGGAGCGTATCTCGTGGTCGCGCAACAGGTCGCCATTGACCTCCCTCAGCTCGGCCAGCCTCGCCCTCATGCTCCCAAAGTTCTCCCGTATCCTCGCGTCCTCCAGCTGCAGCACCAGGCTCTTGACCATGTTCGCGCTGCCCGCGGTCTCGGCCTGCAGTCGCGCCTCCGCCTCCTTGTACCCTGAAACCACGCGACAAAGAAACTTGTTACATATGTATACTTCCCGTGGGTGGGAACGAGAGCGCGTAACGGACCCTTGAGCTTGTGGAGGGCGTCGAGCATGCACTCCTCCTCGCGGGGGAATTTCGCCTCGGAGCCGAGTTCCCGGAGCCCGAGGTACGAAGCGAGCGACTGAACGACGTCCCCGGCGAAGGTTGGGTCCTCGGTGCGTAAGGTCAGCTTGCCCGAGGAGTCGACCTCGATACAGTGGTGCTTTTCATCCCGTAAGCCACGCAACCAGATCTCCAAACTCCCGGCTTCCGGGCCGATCTCCAGCACTTGTATGTCGCTCGAGATGACCAGGCACTGGTTCAGCCACAGCGCCACTCGTTGAGCTCTCTCGGCTATCTGCTATCTCACGTTGTTATAGTATAACATACACATTCACGTATGTAATATTGATGTACCTGTATACTATATTTATACAATTAATTATTACGTACTTCAGCCACGAGACCGCACTCCAGGAGGGTTTCCGGGACGTCGTATGGCCGGGGTGTGGCCTCGTACATGCAAAACTCGGGCAACTGGTGGGTCAACTCGAGGACCATGAGGAGCTCGGAATTTGGAGCTCCGAGGCAAGTTTTCACGTGGACGTTGATCGGTCCGTTCTTTGGAAAGCGCAGGGGGATCTCGAGCTCGCCCTGGGGCTTGGTGGGGTGGGCTACCATGCTCTCGCCCTCGAATATCCCCTCGGCGAACACCATCGCGTAGTATATCTGCAACCGTGCGTGTACTTTTGACAACGGGGAAAAAAAACCGTTTCGTTCCGATTTCCAAGCGAAATCCACTCACGAACAATCCGGGCCCGGAAGCCAGACCAAGGCGCACCGCGCCGCGAGCCGAAGCTATGCTGACCGCGAGCTTGGAGCCCAGGTAGTAGTTGGACTCGGAGGCAGTTCGCTGGCGCAGCTCCATCTGCAAGGAGTGTTTTTTCAACAACAGCTCCCGGTACACGTCCCCCGGCTCCGGCGGCTCGATCGACGTCCCCGTCGCGTATCCCCGAACTGCATCAGAACAACCGTGTATTCACCATCATCCATGATGTATGGGGAGAAAAACAGTGGAAGCAAGTTATGCAAGTATAGACGCACTTTCCCCGGCGACGGTCAGCACGATGAGGTCCGATCGACCGGTTTTCCGGTAGTCTGCCTCGGCGAGCCCCGCGATCGGGGCGTTCATCTGCACCTTGAATATCACCTGGCCGTTGGAGCACGACCGGGCGTCCACTTTGCCGCTGCTCCAGCCGGTCAGCAGCTCCATTGTACCGTCGCCGTTCAGGTCGAAGGTCCGCGTCGCCACCACCTTGTGCTTGGACTATATACATGGGCAGATTCGGCTAGTACAAATATATATGTATATTACATGGTCACGAGGAAAATTGCATGGGTAAATTATACTTTGATGCGCCACTGTATGTGCCCGGAGTCGTAGACACCGAGCGTCCCGTTGCCCTCGATGCGAGTCGCGTACGCGAATCTCCTGCTGGCCAGCGCGAGCAGCGCCACGATCGGCGCGTTCTCCGTCGTCTTCCACAGGATCGCGTCTGCCTTTTGGGCCATGATCGTGAAATCCGAGGTCCCCGAGAGCAGCTGTTGAAAAAACAAAAACCACAACGTTGAAAACCCCATGGTTATACCAGTCGTGGTGCATTATGCATACTTCGTTGTCATCGTCGCCGTTGAAGTCGACGAGCGCGAGAGCGGTGACCCTGTCCCTGGCCACCGTCCAGTAGACCTCCTCGCCTTGGCAGTCGAGGGCGATGATCGAGCAGTTCCCGCCGATGATGGCCACCTGGCCCGGAAGCCAGCCCAGTTTGCCTATCGTTATGCAGTAGGCACCGTCCGGTAGCTGGAAAAAAAAAAATAAATAAAAGGTGACGGGCCACACGTATTCACCATGTGCACGATTTCGAGAGTATGTGTATACCTCTTTGTAGAACAAGTCCGCGTTGTCCTCGACCTGGTAAGCGAGAACGTGGGTCGACGTCCCGATGAGCAGCACGTCCCTCTCCTCGTCTCCAAAGCGTCCGGCGCACAGTGCCGTCACCTGCGATGTTGTGGTCCAAAGTAGGTGTGCATAATAATTACATTGAAACAGAAAAAAAAAAAAAAAAAAAAAAAAAATGAAACGCACCTGCCTACCGATCTGGAGTTCGGCAATCTCTCCGGTCCAGGTGAGCCTGGCCTCGGTGTTGAGCCCGTTCGAGGTGGGGGCCTCGCGATGGGGACTGTGCACGAGGACGTTACCGGCCGACGTGGCCACGGCTAGACAGGCGTGGCTACCGTCGAACTTACCGCTGGCTGCTAGTCCAGCTTCGACCCGGCGCTGGAGGTTCAGGGAGAACGTCGCCATGGCTCATCGGCTACGTGGCAACGCGACGCCGTGGTCGCGACAACAATAAACTCGCGGTGGTCTTTGCTTTGTTTATCGATCGGTGGTGAGCCGGTTTGGTGTTTTTTACACATAATATGGGGTCTTGTATATTATCGATCGCGTGGTTTTTTTTTTTTTTTTTTTTTTTTGTACGGGGAAGCGTTTGCGGAGGGTGTGGGGGAAAAAAGTCAAACGTTTCGAGTTCTTTAAATACGAATTTATTGTACTTTTTCTTTACAAGGCCGCTCGCGTGTCGTTGAAGAATTTCATTCGTTTATTTTGTTCTTGAGGCGTATTTTTTTTTTTTATTAACATGTTAAGTGTTAGAAAAATATAAAAGTCAGATCTCGTACGTTACGACAATCGAACAAACTGCGTAAATGTCATTGTATAAAAGCTCGTTACTTCCTAAGTAGATACAAAAAAATTGTCTCTATTTGTTTTATACTTAAGCTATCCAAGTCTAATGCAATTTTAAGCGCATCGTCTTTATTGCTAGCATTAAAATACTTCATATATAAAATTCTCTATAAATAATGGACGGAGTGGTGTTTTAAGCCACACTTTTGTTAAAAGAGTGTTTTCAATACTGCTACACTTGCTATCGCTAAAGAGGATAGTGTTAAGCTGGTGGCGGAATTACATCTGTGGTGGAAGTAACAGAAACACCATGTCACTTCGTCGTAGTATTGCCTGCGAATATCCAATTCAGCAATTGAATTGTTGACGTAATGGCCCAAATGAACATCAACAGCTGCTGGTCTGCAGCCTTCAAACTTGTCTGCTGGGATGTCTGTTCTGAATCCTTTGACCGCACTAAGGCACTCCCTTGTGATGACAGATTCGGCTAAAAAGTAATTTTTGTATTAATCAAAACATGATTACGTTTGCATTACAGAAATGAAATTACCTCCTTTTCTTTCGACAATTTTTACGCATTCGTCGTCGTGCTCTGGACATGTTTCACCCCACCAATCATACCAAAGCCAGTTGAAGTCAGCTCCACATCCTGGTTGATTACTAGTGCATCGATAACAATTCAGGGCATCACCTGTAAATTATTTCTTTCAATATAACTCTTATAAAATTCATTGACAGATAACGTTAAATAAAAGCGACTTGTAATGAATCAACAATAAGATGACACTTGTTGATATTGGTGAATAAAAAACAATAAAAACTAGCAGTTCTGTGAGAAAAAATTGAAATTGACGATGATAGTTGGATACTTAAAGTAAAATGGAAAACACTTGCTGTTGTTATTTGTTCATTAAATAAAAGTTTTTTGCGGAAAAACCACGCCCCCATGTTAGGTTAAGGAAATTCGGAGTAAAACAATTAACGTTTTACGATGATATATATACTTACCTTTTTGTACGAATGTGAAAAATAATAGAAAAATGCACACTACTGGTTTTAACATTTTGTTTGATTAACAAAAAAATATTTTAAATTTAAAAATTAACAAAAAACATTGAGTTTCAGTGGCGTCGTCAACTCACAAAAATAAACTGGATCGCGATAATAATAGATCGGTAAGGTAGTGATTGACCTTATGTCATACAAAACAAAATTTGAAGTACATGTTCAGTAGCAATGAACAAATATATTACATTCGTATTTTAATTGAATGAAAAATAAGCCTCAGTGGTTCATACAATTAAAAAATAACAAGTCAATAAAAGATAAAACGTGTTTTTAAGTCAAAGACAGCATTGAAGAAAGTACGAAATTAAACAGTATAAACTTTATTTCGTTTATAGTCATAATTGAGCACAGATTTTCCTTGCATTATTGTGATGGTGAAATAAAAATAATCACAATGAATATTCCTTGACTCTTTCAATAGTCTTGTAATTGTTGATAATGGCCATATTAGTGGCCTTGCTCTCTTTTTCACAAAGTGCACGAAAATGTACAAAATAAAGACTTGCTAAACACAAGTTAAACAAGTTGTAAATGATTACTGTCTTTGAATAGCAGCAGCACCACCACCACCACCATTACCACCACCTGCAGCATCTGGGTTGGTAGCAGATGACAACACAAAGAATATGACTGCTGGTACTATGTACATCCACTGAAAAGAGAAAAAATTGCTATTGAAAATGCTCAGTACACAATACATGCTTGATACATCAATGTCAAATTAGGTACTTACATATTTAGCAAAGAAAGTTTTATTATTGTATTTTGCATCTCCGCTTTCCCTAGCCTGCTTTTCCTTTTCAATTTTTTGTATGTAAGAAAATGTGTCAGGTGCTGGACCACCATCAGGATATCTGATTTCAACATCAGTCATAAATTTATTATTAAAAGAACCTCTTGAATCTTGTACACAAGGACCCTTGGCCAGTATATTAACTGCTACAGGTTCACCTGTGCTGTCCAACCACACGTGAATGGAGTCTTGAAGATCAGAGCCAACTAAATTACACTAAAATAGTTTCATATTAATACAAATCAATGAATTATTCAATTTGCTACTTGTAAAATTGTAAATTTACACTTACAGCTAAAATAGAAGCCAAGAAAGAAGTTTCACTTCCAGTTGATGTCTTAATTGTTGCTCGTAATAAATACTTGTGATTATTAGCAGCAAGTTTCAATAATTTGTTCTGGTCAACGGCAGTCAACGCTGGCTGGGTTATTACAAAAGATCCACTGCGTATACTGGAAACTGTAATGTTACCCCTCTCTGTGAAATCTGATTGTGTTTTGGAACTCAGAGCATGGGACAGTCTAATTTGCAGCCAACCATCGTAATCTAACTCGCTCTGAAAAAAATTAACAACGATATAGGTAAAAAATACTATGATAACATTGACTGTAAAATTTTTAATACTCACAGCTGATGCCAGTAAAAATGAACTAAGGAATAATAACACTGACTGGTAGTACGGAGACATGTCGACTAATAAGACTAGGATATTCTGACGTTTGAACTAAAATATTTACTAACAAATTAGAAACATAACTTTACACTAGAACGATTCACGAAGGCGATCTCTCTCACTTTTTTGTCTAATCTCTGCTGGTTCTTTTTAACATGTTTTAAGGTTAGCTTTTATTACTTTGAATTAAACAATTCGGGACGACGTAAAATTACGGCGGTATACTGTAGTCTGCAGCAGTGCATTATACAGTGAGTATATATATATATATATATACTGAGTGCACGACTGCACGTATACTGTATATATGTATGTGTGCGCAGCGCAGACGACGGATTTTGAATTCTCTTCTTCAGTCTTTCTTTCCCCTTTTCCCGCATGCGAATCCCTATGTAAAGTTGATGGCCAAACAAATGTTATTTTTGTTTATTTATTTAATAGTGTACCGTATTGATTATTTTTTATTGCCTAAGACAGTTTAACTCATCAAGTCTCGTCTCGTCCGTTCAACAAGGTTTGTGCTCTTGCAAAAAATGAAATATTTCATATTGTTTGGTGAAATTTAGTTCATACTTGTATCAAATAGGTTAGCTTTAGGATAACATTGATAAATCTCTTTTTCTTTAATTGAGATGGAAGGCCAGAATATGTCAAATGTCAGTCAAGCCTCCCGAGATGGCAAAAGAAAAATCAGCTTGTCGAGTGTTGAAAGTAGTCGAAGTTGCAGATCTCCGTTTACAGGTTTGGATACAGAAGATAATGTAAATGAAACTCCGAAACGTCAGAAGGTCGACAATTCGTGCGATGGGCTTTCTGTTGCCAGTGATGTGGACTCCATACCGTGCAGTCCTTGGGAGATCAGACGAATGAAAGGAGAAGTACGTTGAAACGTGTACTTACTTTGATTAATGATCATTAAAATAATGAAATTTGTTTCAGGTTATTGCATTGAAAACTAAAGTGTCTCACCTAGAGGACACTATTGAGCATTTGCACAAAGTCCGTCGTGAAGTGGAAGAGGTTTGCCACAAAGAAAAGCGGCTGCTAGAAATAGAAATTGCGAGGGATAAGGACACGATAAAGCAGTTGGAGCTGAGGCTCGACTTCAGCAGAAAGTCGGCTCAGGAAGCCAAAGTCGCACATGCACATGCTGAAAAAAATTTATCTGAGGTTTTTAGATTTTCATCATTTGCCAACATATTTGATGATAATACATTTTTCATGATTTAAATGGTTGTTTCAGATGAAAATGAAAATGGAAAAAAAAATATTGACACTGATAGAGGATAATTCAAAACTTTCAGAAGAACTCAAAAAATGTGCAAATAATGATGTCAAACCTGATTTCAATGTTTTAAGAACAGAAAATAAGACTTTGGCTCTGGAGGAGCAACTAAAAGCCACTCAGCAGAGAGTTTCTGAACTCGAAGTGAAGCTCAGGGAAGCTGGTAAGAATTTACAAACAATCGAAGTGCAGAATGCCGAAATACAAGCTTTGAAAGTAAAAGTTGAGACTCTGGAGTCCGAAAAAACCATCTTTGAAGAGAGTAAAAAATTCATAAACAGAGCAGCCAGAGCATCTGAACTTGAGAAGGAGCTTCAGTACGCAAAAGAAATCATACGATCACTGAACGAATCTGTCAAAGGAAAGCTGCTTTTAGAAGAACAAATGGCAACGATAGAGCATAGACTGCAGCGCACTGAGAATCTTGAAAGACAAATAACCCAATTGGAAGTCACGCGAGGTGAACTTCTTGCGAAAATTTCTGATTACGAAGCTATTGGAATTTCGGGAGGACCAACTGCAGTCAAACGAGAAATTAACCGGTTGCAGTTAGCCGAACTCACTTTAACCGCTGAAGAAGGCCAATTGAGGTCAAAAGTAGATTCCCTCAAAAGAGAATTGCAAGACGCCCAGAGAAAGATTGAAGAAACAAAAAAACAACTCGCAGAAACAGTCAGCTCTAATGAAAGACTGTCAAGATTCATCAGCAGGCTCCAGAAAAAAACGTCACTAGTAACCAGAGAAAGAGACAGCTATAGGCAGCAGCTGGACACATATGAAAAGGAAATAACTGCATACCAAAACACTGAAGTTGCTCCCAATATATCAACCGAGAGGATTCCAGCTCTGGAACGCGCGATAGAAGGCTACAAGGAGTTGGTGTCAAAGTATGAAGCTGATTTGGAAGCCCTAGAAGGAAGGAGCCAAAAGGATGAAATTAAAAAGTTGAAAGACGAGATCGACAAACTTAAAGGCGAACTCGAGTACCGTGCACTGAAAGGCGATTTCAATATAAACTCGAAAATCTTACACTTCAAAATGAATCCAGCAGCCATAGCCATGCAACAAGCCGAGGAAAAACAAAAAGCCCTGCTGGAGGAAGTCGAGCGTCTTCGCATAATCGTGTCTTCCGGATCCCACTCTGGCACAGCTCCTACTTCCTCCCTCCAAGCTCAAGGTGAAAACTTAGGATTACAAATCCTCAAGCCTCCGCTGACCGAATAATACGTTTGTTTTATTTTTATCATAGAAATCGCGGAACTTCAGCAAAAACACGACCTCAAAATACAACGTCTGAAAGAGGCGTTCAAGGCTTCCTCGCACGAGTACCGGCAAGCCTGTTATCAGTTGTTCGGATGGCGAGTCGACAGGACGAAGGAAGGCCAATACAAATTGTCAAGCCAGTATGCAGAATCACCGGATGATTACTTGTTCTTTATAGTCAACGAGGATGGCGTCAACATGATTGAAACGCCATTTTCCTCCACTTTAACCACGTTCATTGAACGTCACTTGAAACTTCAGCACAGCGTACCGATGTTCCTCAATGCTGTGCAGTCGGATCTGTTTGATCAACAGACAGCGACTAACGTAATTGCAACTTGCGCGTGAGATGTAACTTTTTTTTTTTTTCTTTTCTATGTCATAGGATAGTGATAATTTTGTACGATAAATGTAAACACATGCTAATTTAAGTAATTGTATTGCCGCGTAATTTGAAATTTACTGCCGGCATTTATTTTTTATTTACTTTATGTAATAAATTATATGAAAGATTGTACAAATAAATAAGCTACATTTAGAAATTATTACATTTCATTATTCTAAAACAAAATAACTCTCATATAAAAGTATTGATTTGTTAGTAAAAGTCATTGACGATTTTTTAATTATTTCCACGTGCCCTCACAAGAAAGCAACAATGACTTGAATTAAAAACATCTCTGTTCTCTGTGGTATATCCATTAACAAATAGAAAAAAAACAAAAACAAAGGGAACGTCAAGGAATGCTCAAGTACTACATACCAATGAGTCCAATAAATAAAGAGGACAAACTGCAGTACGGCGTCTAAATTTTTAAAAAGGAGCGTTCAGGGCCCGTGCCAGCAACGACAGCCAAAAAGTTCATCAGCTCTCCCAACTCTTTTTTTTTTTTTTTTTTTACATACGAAGAAATTCATTCCAGAGGTGTGTCAACCACACCACTCCAAGAGGATAAGAGCAAGCATTGGGGGGACGCGGCGTTGCTGAAACACCCGTTCCATTGCCGTAGTAATTTAATGAACTAAGTAAAAATATTTGTCTCTTCCTCTCTCCTCGATGGTCGGAGACTTGGCACCGTATAATAGAAAAAGGTTCGTACCTCGGCTACACTGGATACACGATCAGACTGCAAATGAGCGTTACCAGTGCACGGACAGTTATAATCGATTGACGCCTCCCACGAGTGCCTTCCCACGTGGATGGGCTGTCTCGTTACAGCAAATTTTATCAGGGCTGATGTTAGCAAGGAGGAGCCAAGAGGATAGGACATATCCTCGTTAAAAGTACAATGGGCTATTTTTTTGATGCAAAGTTCCCCTCCAAACAATGAAAATAAAAGGGCAGATAAAAATAATGGAAAATAAGTAGAGGCTCAAATTCTGATTTTGAAAGCACTTGCACGAGTTTAGTACGGTTTTTTCATTTTGTTTTTTTTTTTTTTTTTTTTTTCTGTTCCTTTTAGAAATCGTGTATGTTTGTGTGTTCTAAGTTTGGCGATAAGTGGAAGGAAATAAACATTAAAACATTTGCTGATTCGCCGATGGCATACTTACAATGATACTGAAATATTTTACTGGCAAATTATTTTTTTTATTTTTTTAGGAGAGAAATCAGGGTTATTAAACACATGTTTAAAACTGTTTACGACTAGCACATAATTTCCATCAACAGAATGTATGTATAACTTTTGCGTCCGACCAAACTCGAATATTACTACTTTTAAGGAAATAACGGGATTTTGTTGTTTTCCTTCGCTCTGCCCGTCTCCTGTAAATGTAGCCTATTGTTTCCAGCCAACGAAATTCACTTTCCTGCTGTATACTACGTCCAACAGGGGGAAATAATGAGAAAGAGGCGGGTAACTCAATTAGTCGGTGAAATTAAAATTGAAATTTAAAATCCTTGGCGTGGCTTGATAAGCTCTGGCAACACTCTGAAAACCGCTATTTTTAACCATCTGTTTTTAGAATGAACTTGGCAAAAAAAAAAAAAAAAAAAAAAAAAAAAAAAAAAAAAAGGTTAAAAAAATACAACGACAATTTATCAAACGCAAACAAAACGAAATGCATTAAAATGAATTTTTTCCATCAATATCGTGGTCGCGCTCCCGTAGCGCATTCGTTAATTAAGGGCTACTATTTTTCGTGGCACTTGCTGCAGTTGCGCAATTCCTCATTCCATTTTCCGACTCGATTGTTATTAGTGCTCGTAATTTATCAAAGCGAACTACATTGCACGGATCCTCGAGCTTCGTTTCATGTTATTTTCGCGAGAAACCCGCCGAACAAAAGTATTCATTGACTGATGCAGTACTTTTGTTGAATTTTGGCGAATGCGCGTGCCAATCATTCATCATACAAATGTGCATTACGTCCTTTGGAAAGGGTGCCGTGCACGGATGTTGTCAAAACTGAGAATTGAAAAAATATATATCGCTACTCGTGGATAATGTTGTCTGTTGTAGGATAACACAATACATTTAATTGTTTGAAAACAACGTATGGCCATCAGTTGGAAAATAAAGTTGTACAGGATGTGAGTACTTTCAAGAAAGTACTCGTTAAACAGTACTCCGAAATTGAAAAAAAATCAATTTTTTTCCTCCAAATGAGAACTAAAAAAACGTAGAAACGAGTGTGACATGCATGTTTCGAGCCTTTTAGATTTTCAATTTTCATACTTTAACAACATCGTCAATTTTATGAGACGTTATCAGGATATAAGATTTTTTTTAAGGAAAAATGTAGATAATCTTCTCGGAAATTTTTTACAAACCCCAGAAATCTTGAGCTAAAAATATACAGTTTCGAAAAATAGCATTATTTTTATAGCAACTTGTATCAACATCCCATTAAAAAGCTGTTAAGTTTCAGCAAAAACGGCTAGCAGCATCCACCACTTGGAATAAACCTATAGTGATTAAAAAAAAAAACGTACGATTACTTACAGTACAGATCCCTCGCATAATACTCTCGCATATTGCAAGCAACTGAGACATTACCAGTAAATGTGACCAGAGGTAAACACAGTTATACAAAGGAGAAGCTGAAAAGCAGCTTATATCCGTATGCCCATGCAAGCAACGCCGTCATCCCCGTCGAGGTACCTTACGCTGTCAACGTGAACGAGCAGATGTGCTCCGGCGCTGCCAACTCCTCCCCTTCCGACCCTCTTTCACCTCCCCGAAACGGAAACTCCATCATTAGTGATTATAATCGCGTTTAATCGCAAACTCACCGCCAAGCCTCGAGGCTTTCTGATGCCCCGACCCTTTCCTCCCCCGCCGCTCGTGACTCCTCGGCTTCTCTGCACATAACTATATACATTACACGCGTGTGTTTGTATGTTATTATGTAGCCTTTCTCTCGATCTGTTTGGTTACCACTTTTGCTTGACCCGTGAAAAATTTGTCCAGCTAATCGAGCCAATTTGCGTCGATGCAGAGATTTTGTGCTACGGAAGATTTAGTCCTTCATAAAACTTTTTTCGATTACAAGCCGCTGAAAAATTTGAATGACTATATTAACTTCGATTTCCTCACGTCAATAGCAACACACTTATACACAACTATAAATCAAGAGGGGGAAAAAAAAGAAAAACTTCAAATAGGTACTACAGACGTCTCATCCTCCACTTGACATTCCGGGACATTGTCAAGGTATTCGGAATCCATATAGGTAAAGATGAAAATAGGATGATAAGTAAGACGAGAAGCGAGAGATAACAAAGAAGGACATGTATATAATATTATGTACTTATGGGTGGACGAGGGAGGCTCCTCCTCTCGAAGGAAGATAATCAATCGCGACAAGAGTCAAGCAGTATCTTATCAAAGTTGGCCCATCTTCGGAGGAGCGGCGCTGAGTTTTTATGCTCATTTACTTCAAATCACTTAATTGCGACTTGTAGGATTGAAAGGAAATTCTCGTCTACCGTTTGATTGTGTTTTATTTTATTGCTCTGAACTTTTATACTTTAGCCTAAAGAATCTTTAACTATTTCATACAACAAATATTATGAAAAAATCCACAAAATTCACATCAAAGTCTTAAAAATTAACAACTGGTTGGACGTAAAAACTCCTTCATCCACTTTTTTGGAGGAATAAAGTTTTTCTGGAAAATTTTTTTTTCACATACGTTGGTGGTTAAAAATTGTGAAATCATACAAAATTTGATGCTTAATTAAATTCTTTGGTGTTGACGAAAAAACTTTTTATAATCATACTTCCCGCAAAGAAAAATGCAAATTCTCAAACGAGCAAGAAGGCTAGATCTTTAAAAATTTTCTTTTTTCATCTATCGAAGTTTCGACCCTACACGCCACGATGGCAAAAAAGATCTGAGATTTTTTTCAAGCCAACTCATTTTTCTGTGCAATTAATTTCCAATGGCTTACATCAAATGAGTAATCGTGCAACGAATGTAACTTTATCTTGGTACAATACTCTTTTACAGTCCCTTGATGTGATGATTAAAAAAAAAAAAAAAAAAAAGGATAGTAGACACTCGACTCACAAGAGGCAGCGAAGGAGGGAAAATTACGCACTGATTCCCCGAGGAGGTGTCACTTGAGGGGATTATCAGTTACACGTTTCAATCGGAGAAGGAGCCCATCGGCACCCCCGTGGCCAGCTGAGCCACTCACTTCGGTACCTTTTTTTTTACTCGACCCACCGGAGATGAATGTGTATACACATGTGCAGACATTAGGCGAGTAAAACGTGACGGGGAAAATAAAAGGGATACAACAAGAGAAAACGGAAATTGCGCGAAGCTGCTGTACACTATACAATGTACATTTGAGCACACCACGTGGAAGAGGTTCTAAGAGCATAGCGGAGTTGCATGTGAGGAAAGTAGCAGCTGGTTCATCGAAGCAGAGATAGCGTCACATTATTTTGTATCTGTCAAGCGAATTGCAAATCCACTTGGTTACCTGCTCCAACGGAGATCTCGATTATTTGATTACAGGCGCGCTCAGTTGAATCATTTGTCGATGATGAGAATGAAAATGCCTCGACTATGGAGGTCTCCCACGTGTGAAGTATGGAAACTGTGGAAACTGTACAGTTTACGCACCGAGGCAAGTGAAATTAATCGTGAAATCGGAGGAGCTTCTAATTATTCAGGAATAACAAAAGGTTTCGAAGAAAATAGATAATTACACTGGGAGCGGGTGTGGGGAATGAATCTACTTTTAGTCGTACTTCTGTTTCCAGGGGCGCGGTGCATACACGCCCAGCTTACTGATACTTACCACCACTTGGCAAAAATGAGTAAGCCCATTGACTTTCCACTCTTCGTAGCCGCTGGATGGGCGAAAAAGAAGGGGGGGAGGGGGAATGAAAAAAAATTATCCGACAAGAGGAAGACGCTTTAATCTGCGAAATGGCGGCTCTTTACATAAACGTGTGTGTATACACACACATTTTTTTTCAACATGCGTGATAAAGTGAACCACTATTCGCATAGAAATTAACTGGACAGCTGCCAGTAGCCGACTGTTCGCGTGTGGTAATAAAAACTCTGGC